TCCTTATTGTTTTTTGCTTCTTCTTCTTCCGGGTCGTCTTGTTCTTCTTCTTCTTCGTCGACTTATTCTTCTTCTTGTTGCTGTTGTTGCTGCTGCTCCTGCTCGTGCTGATGCTCGTGCTCGTCCGTGGTGCTGCTGGTGCTGGTAGTTATGTCTGTGTCTGTGTTTGTGTTTGTTGTTGGGGCGACTAGGGGGGGTCTTGAATTACGCGCGTCCTTGCGCAAGCACAAGCCGAACACGTTCAATCAAAAGAGCACTTTTTCCTCCGTCCCATTTTGCCACAAGTCTAGCCTCTAGGTGTCCTTGCAGGTCCGTTTCAAAACGCGTGGCATCTACCAGTGCAAGTGCAACCTAGCTTTTCAGAAGGACACCTACCCTTCCGCCACAATCCGGATGTTGGGAGGCTGCGTGGGGGCCGGGGAGGGAGGCAGTTCAAGCACTCGAGGCCCAGGATGAGTTTGAGAAGATGTTCGGGGTGGCCTGGAGCAAGGTCATGGAGGATGGCCTGGTCTTCAACGCCATGGACGGCGCGAAGAAGCTGGGCGTCTCCCCCGATGAGCTGCTCTGTCCCAAGGAGTAGGTCGCTTTCAAAATGAATGATCTCCCTTTTGCTTCGTGTTTGCCACCGAGCTCGAAAAAGGTACTCTTCAAAGTTCAAAAGCAAACCCTGTTGGTTTGCTCTTGGTAGCGTTTTGATTCCTTGTGGGTTCTTGTCGGAACCTTTTTGGTGTTTCTCTTCGTGGTCTCCTTTGGAGACTTGTAGTCATGGCCCACAGGCCGATAGGTTCCAGGTCTTTTTCGCACTGAGGCTGGGCAAGAAGTACGACGCCCTCAAGAAAGGCGTCGTGTCGCTTTCGCGCCGCGTTTTTTGCTTTTGAGCTCTGGCAGTTTCCACCAGGGATCGTGCACGGCGCCACTCTTTCCCGAGCTTGTGGTTCCTTGCTGCTTGAGAAGTTAGTTCCAGTCCGGCTGATCAATCCATTCAGCAGAGGCCAACAACGGCTAACAGGTTGGATTTCTGGGTTTTTTTGGGATAGGTGTGGACATCATCAAATTCGGTGGCGGCTTCTATTGTGGCAAGGTGCCCGGGTTGCCCAGTGGCACCGTTTTGTTTTTCCCTTTTGTGGGTGCTGTTTTTTCCTTTGTTTAACCAACCAATGGGGTCCTTGTCCAATGCCTGAAGGGCAAGCAAGGTAGACGACATCTATGTCATCAACGGCTTTTACATGAACATGCGCTCGAAGTTCACCGCAAAGGGGGCGAGCATCTACTACTACGAGGTGGCTGTCATCACTTTTTTGTGGTATTGCTGGTTGGTTTCTTAAGGTGTTCGCTCAGATTCAACTGGCAGGTTGGAAAAAGGTAACGATGCACACTTGCCACTTTGCCTTGGGTTGGAAAACTGGAAGCATTTGGTTGGACAAGTTTCTACAACAATTAACAGCCCAATGTTGCCAAGTTTGCAACGTCACAGTTTTCCTACCTAGCTGGTCGATGAGAGCAAGGCCAAGTCGTGGACTTTCCAGGTACCTCGTTGTTGACCTTTTCCTTGGGGGCGCTGCCTGCTTTTGTCCATGATCTTGTAGGGTCGATTGACAACACCCTGCATCCGTGAGCACCTGATAAAAGCGAGTGATGGCTAAATCCATTCAACTATGTTCCCAGACGAGCCGTTGGGACGACTATGTTCCCAGACGAGCACATGATGGCACCAATGCACCAATCGCCAGCACGGAAGTTCAACAATGACTAGGAAGTCCATGCAATCGCTTCTCCCTAATAAAGAAACCGTTCCCCCCCCCCCCAATACAACAAATGAGGGAGTTGAATTATTAGGGGTCGCCGGTTTGGGCCTAGATCGAATTGATAGTTTGCTGTTTAGTATTGGACTTGTATTGGAAAGTTGGTCTCCTTTGATTTGGAGCAAAGCTGCTTAGATTGCAACTTTTAAGTAAGAACTTCGAAAGGGAGTGTCCCATGGTCAGTTTCATATATATATATATATATATTGATTTTGATTTGAGGACACCTGAAGAACCCATAATGAGGCTGTTCCTGGGTTGATAGAGCCCTAACTCCCCTAAGAATAAAACTTTGCCTTGGGTGTCAAAGGAAACGTGGAGCCTTCTTGTTTCAACACACTCTGGAGAGGGGCCCCCTAATAAGAATATTTTGGAAGCTTGGTGGAAAGCATGTGTAGTCTCAGGAGTTTAGTATTGGTTTAGTGTTGGCCAATTTAAATTTAGTATTGCCGATTTTTTGCCGCGGCTTGGGGGAGTTTTATTATTAGGGGTAGGTTGATTAATAGGAAGAAGGGATTAATTCCCAGCCAACGTACATGTTGTGGTGACACCTATCTGTCGCTACCAAGCAGTTGTTTCTTGGTGTGCCCTGCCCCCATGTCAAGAGACATTCCCGCAGGTTGTTTATCAACACCTTCTACAGTTTTCAGTAGCTGTCCTGACCGACACGGGCTTGGGCCTCGCATGAAAAGGTGGTCCCCCAGTAGTGCCCTTCCCTACTAAAATAGACTGCAGAAAAAAAGGGTGCACTTATTCTAGCCTCTCCTGGAGGACCTAGACAAGGTGGTTCCTCTTTCGGTCGCTTTTCGCCTGAGGTGGAGTGGCCGGCGGAGAAGATGAAGTGGGAGGACTTCCGCGGCAAGCTGCTGGGGCCCACAGACCCAGCCACCGCTCCCAGCGGATCTTTGCGCAACGAGATCTACAACAAGTGGGTGGAGCTGGGGCTGCAGGCGCCCTCGGGACGCATTCTCCTCGCCCATGGGAGGAGAAGGTCTGTATGAGCCAAGTTTGCCAAAGTTCGGGGGTACAAACCGGGAAGGGCGGGGGGGGGGGGGGGCAGCTTGGTTATCTCAAATGGCCGAGGCTCAGAAGCACCAGTTCACATCTTAACAAGGCTCCCAGGCCAGGCTCATAGTACGCTCATGGCAACCTTGCCATTTGCGCAGCGGTGGTTCTACTACTTGGCTTGAAGGATGTAAGGCCTGTGTGAATATGTATAACCATCTTTGTGGAACCAAGAGTCGACGGGTTTTCGCCGCTCACCTGTTAGGCGCAGCCTGACACTGGGGACAACGGGGTCCACGCGTCAGCGAGCCCTTTTGAGTCTTTGGCTGAGCGCTGCAACTGGATCCGGGCCTCCATCACCAAGGACGCTCACCCTGAAAAAGGAACCCCGTTGAGTGGGAAGCATGGGCGAACAGAAGGCCTTCGCAGTTGGCACCCAACCACAACGAGCTTCATGCTTTGAATGCGTCCTGGTGCCGTAAATGGTTGACCCGACTACTTCACCCGGAGCTTGCTGCCCCAGCCGTAGAATGGGACACCCATGTTTATCCACCGGGGTTCATGAATCCTGTTCCCGCATGTTCCCGCGCGGGATCCCGAAGCGGCCTCGAAGGACGCCTTTGGCAAGGCCTTGCTGGCCAGTGGGATCAAGATGCCCAAGATCAAGGACCAGCGAGAGAAAGGATGGCCCATTCACATTGCCAACATTTATTGGGAGACCTTTTCCTGGTGCGGTGCTTGCTCTTGTGTTTTTATTGTTGTACCAAACTTTGCTAATACGTTGTTTTGTTTTGGTTGTGATCATTTTTAGTGGGTGGTTGCAACCCAAAAATGTATTTTGCGCACATGCTAGGGGCTTGAAAGCAAGGACCCTCTTTAGCAAGTGTCCTTCTTGAGGGTAGCGTTTTCAGGTTGGTTCAAAGGGACATCCAAACGCAGGAGTGGTTCAACGATCCTGCGGTCTCCTTCGAGGGCGACAAGAAGTCCATCTTCGACCTCCTGGAGGATAAAGATGCGGCAGAGTGTTTGAAGAAATGCAAAGCCATCGCGGCAGAGAATCCGTGAGACTGTGCCCACCATTTGGGGGGCGTGCTGGCAAACAGCAACAGGCTCCAACTCTTGACATAAGTTCGGGTGTGCAATACGGCTTGCACGTCCCGCCCCCGTTTGATTCAGGGGGTAGATTTTACCTGGAGTGCACGCCTAAGGGGGGTTGATCCCAAGTCTTTACAATGGTTGCATCAAGCGCAGAATTGTCGATACTTCTGGAGAAGGTGCAAGTCCTATGGTTGTCAGGGCCCCCCCCAAACTGCAAATGCAAGAAACAGCCCGTGATAGACCCCAATCACTATTAGCATGTCATTGGGATTGGGGAATTGGCCCTTGGGGGCGCCTTGACAACCCACTGGTCCAGCTGTGTTTGTGTTGCCTCCTTAGACGCAGCTCTGCTCATTGTACAACTTGAAGCAGGGCGAGCGCAGATCCGGTGACAGACTCTGTCGGGCCCGCAGCCGGCCAGACAAGCTCCAGAAAAGGCACACGGCAAGCATGTCCTTGGCTTAACACCCAGCCGTTGTCGTGGCCTGTTTTCGGGGAAACTAAGCAGGAAGTCAAATTTTGAGAGCTTCTCACAGCTTTGAGGGGCTTCAAGCGGCTCAGGGTGTTTTCGTTTGTTGCTTGTTGATGGTGGCATTGCCGGAGGTGCGGCCTTTGCATGTGTTTGTGGGCCACTGTTGGCCCAGATGAATCAACCCCAGTTTATTGATATGGGGGCGTCCCCTTCCAAAAGTGGTTTGGTTCCCCACACCCAGAGACACCCCGGCATTATCTGAACCAGGGTTTATAAATCCGGGGAGGCTCCACGGCAGGCACATTGAGCCCAGGTGGGAGGGTTGACCTTAATTACAGGATTTTCAGCTGGAACTGGCACTGGCTTTGAACTGGGGCGGTGACAACTTTACACATCCCCGCAGCATCTGTGCTTTTTTGTCTCTGTCATCTCCGTCTTTGCCTACCTGCCTGCCTGTCTGCCTGCCTGATGGTTTTGTTGCTTGCTGGTTTGTTGGGTTTGCTGGATTGTTTGCTAGTTTGTAAGAGTGTTTTTGTTCTTTGTCGTCGTCCTTGTTGGAGTTTGTTTTCTTTTCCCGTGGCTAGTGTTGTTTTGCTTTGTGATGTTTGTTTGGGTGTTGATGTGTTTGCTTGCCTGCTTGTTTGCTTGCTTGCTTGCTTGCCTGCTTGCCTGCTTGCCTGCTTGCTTGCTTGCCTGCTTGCTTGTTTGCTTGCTTGCGTGTTTGCTTGCTTGCCTGCTTGCTTGCCTGCTTGCTTGCTTGCTTGCTTGCTTGCTTGCTTGCTTGTTTGTTTGTTTGTGTGTGGGGAACTCACAAAACAAAATATGGAGAAAGGTGCAATGAGCATTTGGTACCTCGGCATGCCTCAACCAAAGGGCCCTGACTACCCAAAACCGCCAGCACCCAAACCCATTAACCAAAGTTCTAAGAACAACATAAACCAACAACACAAACGACGCTAAACAAAACAAACACACAAATGAGCAAGCAAGCAAGCAAGCAAAAACAAAGAAAGAAACGACGCTACATGAAATGGAGAACAATATGACACAAGACAAGGCGATGATCAAACAACACACAAACAACAAGCAAACCGACAGACAACCAAACAACCAAACACTCGAACAAGTGAGCGAGCTAGTAGTGAGCAAGCAAGCCAGCCAACCAGCCAGCCAACCAAGACACAACGCAAGCAAGCAAACAAGCAAGCCAGCGAGCCAATGATTGAACAACCAAACCAGTGAGTTCAGACAGGGAAAATTGTGCGACAGCAACGTAAGGAAACAAACGAACAAGCGAGCCAGTGCGTGAACAAACAAACAGACAGACGGACAGACAGACTCAGCAAACAAGCAAGCAAGCAAGCAATCGCCCGAGCAAGCAGTTGGTTCCGCGCGACAAGTCAAAAGAGAGCAAGCAATAAGGCAAACAACAACTCAGTTGCCCAAAGCCGACCTTTTAACCTTTTGGTTTTCTCGTTTTGGTCCATTTTTAGTGATGGTCCCAAAAGGTCAACCTTTTATTTCCAGGTCCTTTGGGCAATTGAGACAAAGGCCCCTGGCCCGAAAGGTTCGATGTCCTACCTCTCGGGTCTCTGGTTGCCTTTGAGATCAGGCATGCGACTATGGGGGATGTCTAGGGCAACCCGAAAAGTGAACGGTTTCATTTTGTTCCCTGAAAAGCCGGCCAAAAGAGGATTCAACCCCTTGACTTTGATGGGAGCGTCCCATTTCAGGCGCTTCCAAAACCTGGCGGAGCCGCCTGTCTGGCAAGCAGTTGGTCACCTCACTCCCTGTCATGGACTTCAAACTTTTTGGGCAGACCATTTGAGTCGTAAACCAAAAGCTCGGATCTTTTTTGGCCAGTCTCGATCGGAGAGCCCAAAGGAAGGCGAGAGGACCGCGCGCTCGATGCTCGACGTGCAGGTCTTCACCAAGTTGGCGGTGGAGGCCAAAGCCCGTGCCCGCGACAACGAGAAGGCGAGGATGGAGGCGGGGATGCGCAACGTGGGCGTAGGTTTTGCTGACTCCCGATGTATTCAGAGGCCCCAGCCTCTGGGCTGGACATTCCTCACTCCCTGAGTTCATGGACAAAAAGGACACGTTTTGGAAAGACAAGTTTAGTGGTACAAGTAGATGACCAGTTTAGTGGTACAAGACCAGTTTTGGCCAGTCCGCTCAGGAACACTCCGGAAGTGAGAAATGGAAGCGAGGTGGTGTTCAGGGTGCCCTAGGTCGGTAACCCTTGTTGGTCTATTTGGGTGTTTGCAGCCCAGACCATCGCACCGACTGGGGAAGGACACCGAATTTTCAATTCTGTTGACCGTTTCCGGGTGTCATAATCTGCAGGAGCCATTTTAGGAGCCCCTGATCCAGCTGAGATTGGATTGCCCAAAATCAAGACAGCCCTGAAACGATTCAAAAGTGGTCCAAACCCAACATGCCTTTCAGTACCCCAGTTTGGGTTTTCCCTCACTTGATTCATTCGCCCTGGGCGAGGAACCTGTGATGTGCCTCTCCTGAAGCCAAGCCCTTCATTGTTCGTTGACCCCTCTAGTTCATTTTTTTCGGGGTTCTGGCTTCACCGAACCTTGTGGCCCCGAACACCCCCAACTCCTACCAGCGCTGGTTGGGTGGTTCTTAAGTCTTGTTTCGGACAGGTGGTTCAAATTTCCATTCAAGCTTTGCCGTCCAGTGGTGGGCTTGCTTTTCACTTTGGAAAACGCCGAAGAAAACCATCGCCCCCCTTGGCAATCCAAAAAGCGGTCCCCCCTACCAAACAAAGCCCCCCCCTGACAGACCCACGGCGCACAGAACCTTTTTGAGGTGAAGCAGAGCACCGGACGGCGGCGGTCCATGCCAGACCTGAGCCTGGCCCCTGTTTCGGAGCTTCGCAGCTCCACATGGGTTTCAGCGGTCCCTTAACTAGTTGGCTGTGGGTCAAAACCAGTGGTACAATTTTGGGGTAGGTGCACCACCCATTTTAGTCTATTTTAGTTGGGATTGGGATGTTACTGGGGGTACGGGATGACCGATGGCCAGTTGGTGGTTGGATTGATGAGGATTGAAGCCCTGGTATTGCAATTAGAGGTTGAGTTTGCAAATGGGAAAGCATCCCTAACTTCCAAACCAACAATCCAAACCCGGTATGTGTCACAGTTGTTCCTTTCGCGCGTCCCTTTAAAATCACGTGAAAAAGGGTACCTCGAGAAAAAATAAAAATATTATTAAAAAAAACAAAAAACATTTGGGCCAGTCAAATAAGTCACTTTAACTGGCTGATGTAGAGGATTTGCCTGTAAAGCAGGCGATTTTGGGATGCATATGTGAAGGAAGCCTGTTCAACCCATGTTCAAAGCTGTCGCTGCTGGACGTATCGATCGACTTCCGGACTTGACTGGCGATATAAACCAAATCACCACAAGGAAGGAAGAGCCAGAAGATGGATAGCGACTTATTCCCAGGCTGAATTTTCTGGCGTGACTGGCATTGTGTTTGGTGCATTCGGCTTGAGAATGAGGGCAATGAAGGCCCAAGCGAAGCCTGGCTCTTTGAAGGGCTGATCCGTTTGGGAGGGACATGGGGGAACTTTCCAAGTCTCCCCACAAAAGCAAGCAAACTCACTGCCTGCTTGGACCCCTAGGCTGGTGTTTGGTGAGCGGTACGTGTGGCATGAAGGAGCCGACCACAAGACCCGAATGAAGCAAGACGGCCCCTCAAAGGGCCGTAGGGGCACGGGAGCTGATCTGCCCAAGGCCTGGACACGAGCCAACCCGGAGGCGGTGCCGCTGCCGCTTTGGGGGGGCGGTACTATATGTGTCACTGGGGGCACTTTGCATCAGGGTGGGGTCAAGGGGTTCATCCCCACTTCTGTGATACAGGGGTTACAAGAGAATCCACCCTTTGTGAGGGGGGGTAGTCGGCCACAGCCCTGCTTTACATGGTCAGTTTCACCCCTGTTTCTTATACAAGCTGTACCCAAAAGCGGCCCCAGTTTCGAGAAGTTGCTATTCTTGCACAAAGCCAGCAGCAGCTTCCGAGAGACCCGCCCTACAAATTGCAACTTGTTGGTGGAAAGTCTGGCTTGTACACACCTGCAATGATGGACATCAATCAGCAAGCGCCCGACCCTCCACTCCTTTTCCCTCCCCTTCCATCAGTCCCGCAAAATCAGACGTTGACCGTGTGAGCGCAGGTTGCCCAAGTGCACACAGTTGGTGCACCACATGTTCTGGAAACACCTCGCAAAGAACAACAACTCATGTGACCATTTGCCTTTGAGCGGCACAGTTCCTTGACCAGGTGAGCGCCAATGGGGTTCAGGGGCTGATTTCAACTTCACAAGCTCACTTCGCATGGGGTACCGTCCCCATTCTTTCCAGGGATCATTCTTTCTAGAAAACCTCCGCAACCCCAGGGAAAAATAAAAAATATGGATATCGACCCTGTCCACCTTGAGAGGAGAATGCCACTCTCCATGGGGAAGATTGAAATAGATCGCGCAGTGCTGCCAAGGCATCAAAGACAGACAAGACTTTCCAGCACTCCAAGCCGAGACTTGTTTGCCAGCCTGACGCTTAAGACCGGGCCAGGACTGGCGGTCTTAGAAGTCGACCTGATGCTCGCCGAGCTGAAGGCCCCGGGCCCCGGGCAGCGCAGAGCGTATCAGACCGGGCGCCCAAATCCCTGACAAGTTGGCAAGCGGGTTTTACCTGGCTGAAAACAAGGGTTATGCCGGGCCATAACCTGTGCAACCAGCTCAGTAGAACCCAAAGGCGATGGGTTTTGTCGCTCAGCTGGGGCAAGCCTTGGGGTTGTCAAAGTCAGAAAGTGGGGATGTCTTGACTTTTAGTGGGTTGGATCTTTAGACTTTAAACTCTTTGGGAAATCAAGGGCGTTTCCATTAAACCCCCAAAAAGGTGAACCTTTTGCAGGGGGGTCAACAGCAAGCCAGATGTTTCCCTTCAACTTACCACTTACGGGGTGACTTTGACATGCAAGTTCAGGAAGCCTTCTAAGGTAAGTATGGCAGGTATGGCAGCCCGGACTCCTTGTATTTTCTTTAGTGGGTTTAGGTTCCCTGTTGGTTCCTGCCAGGCTTGGGTGGTATCGCACATAGGGAGGCTGCTATTTCTTTTGTATGTGTGTGTGTGTGTGAGTGGGGCCATCCCTGCCCGTTTCGCACAGATTCAAGCCTTTTAAGTGTCAAAAAATGAGTCCAACACAAAGAAGCAACACACATTCCCATGCAGGGAAGTGCCAAAGAAATGGCTTGAATGCTTGACCAGCTTTACAGTTTGCTCGTTTGTCTCTCGGTCCCCCTCCCAATGTTGAGAGAGAGAGAGAGAGAGAATCGCGCAGCTTTTGTCGCTGATCCATTTGTCCCTGAATCTGCTTTGGAAGTACAAGTGGAAGATACAACACGCTTAATCCGTGAATGAGCAGTTTTGATTGCCTTTTCTTTGCGGCACTTCGCACCTGGGTTTAAACGGGCCGTGGACACAGCCTCTTTCATGCTTCTGGCGTTAAGATGTCGAGTTTGGTTCATGGTTTTGTAGCATCCTCACCTCTCGCGAGTTTTGGACCAGGCTTAGGCTGTCTTCGCTGCACGCCACATCTCTTGTGGCCCGGTGATGTAGCTTTGGCTCAGCGGAGGGGGGGGGGGGGCGGGGGCACGGGGTTTGAAACTGCCTCTTTGGAGGTCCCGCAAAGGAAAATAGAGGAGCTCGGTTCAGCTTTCTGAAGCCCCTTGCACTTGTTGCTTCCTGCAACTTGTGCAACTTCGAAGCGCTGGAAGCCCATTTCAACCAAACATGCATGCAAACTCCAAGATGGGATGTCTTCTCAACACCACGTAAACTGAGGTATCGTAGTTGTTTGCAAGTGCAGAGGCTGCATGGTAGTCAAATGCCACTCCTGTTAGGTAATTACATCACTCTGTATTTATATATATAATATGGAGATATTACTTGAATTCTCAGTTCAGATGGACAAATAGTTGTCTGGGTTTGCATCATGTTTACTTCATACAAAGCTTGGCTGGTCTTTGGTGTGACCTCAGCCCCTCTTTTTCATGAAAATCGAGGATGATTTCCAGTAGCAAGCCACCACCAGTGAAAATTCGGGCTTGGGGCTAAGTGGTGGTCATAAGTAGCCAACTTAGGGCTTAACCTCACTTCCTGAGTTCATGAGCTTTAAACTTTTTGGGAAGACCATTGTAGTGGTAATTATAAAGTTTGAACTTTTCTGGGCCATCCACTCAGCCAGTGAGTAACGCTACTATTTGGGTTTTCATTGTGAGAATTAGGTTTTATATGCCCTTCATGCACTTTGTGGCCTTTTTCGCGGCATATCCCAACTGGCTCCGTTCCCATGGACCGCTCGCGGAGCCCGAAGGGCCGGGGGCCGAAGCCGGGCCCGAAAGCGGACACGAGGCGCCAAAGTTCTGAGGCTCCTGTCCTTATCTAGGTCCCCCAGCAATTGGTGCCCTTTTACCGTTTCTCTTTTGGGGGAGATTCGGTTCCCCTATAGACTACACCAAAAAGAATCGGTGACCCTTATTCCAACCTCCAAATCTGGAGGACCTAGCTTCTGTTTTCCTTTCCTGGGGGCCTCACATGTCACGAGGTTGGGTCCCAAAGACCCGATTGCAAATGTCAGATATATTGGACCCAAGAGCGGGGCCAATGTCTTGCGGAGTCAACCAACGAAGGTCTCTCTTTCTCTTCGTTTTTTTTTTTTTTTTTTTTTTTTTTTTTTATTATCTCTCTCTCTCTCCGCTTTCTCTCTCTCTCTCTCTCTCTCTCTTGCTTTTTGTCTCTCGAATTGCATTTGTCTATGTATGTTCTGTATGGTTGCCTATCTATCGATCTATCTATCTATCGGTATATCTACCTATCCTACCCGAATCTAATATCATATATCTATCTATTTGTCTACGCATCAATCTATCTATCGATCTATCTATTTGTACGCATCAATCTATCTATCGATCTATCTATCCATTTATCTAATCTATCTATCCATTTATCTAATCGATCTATCTATCCATCGATCTATCTATCTATCAATCTATCTATCTGTTTATCGTATCTATCTAATGGAATCTAATCTAATCTAATCTAATCTATCTGTCGATCTGTCTATTATAGTCTATCTAGTTGTCTGCCCATGTGCTTATCTATCTATCTATCTATCTATCTATCTATCTATCTATCTATCTATCTATCTATCTATATATATATATGTCTATCTAACTATCTACCTGTCTAATCTATGAATCAACCAAGCTGTCAATCTATCTATCTATCTATCGGACGTATCTAGTTTACATTGATCTAGCTAGTGTACGTAATCTATCTAATGTGTTTAATTCTACCTGTCTATGTATGTTGTTATATATAAGATACATATTTATTTATCTGATGTATTGAATCGATCGAAGTAAGCTTCGAGTTATTCGATCTAACCGATCTTCTTCAATCTATCAAATCCATCGAATCACGCAAATTTTCCTAATGTAGTCCACCTAAACTATGTTAATGTATCTAAGCTGTGTAATTTTTCTGAACATCTACTCTTGCTAATTGTTCCACTTGTCTATCGATCTATCTATCTAACTGTTTATGTATCGCTATCCATCCATCTATGCCTCTGTATATCCAACTTATTCTAATTTTGCCAATTTGTCTATCTGTCTATCTAGCCAGTCTATACCTGCCTTTGTGTCAAGCGATTCTATCTGTGTCTATCTAATCTAGCTAATCTATCTTGTCTATCTAATTCATCTCATCTATCGAGTCTGGTTAGTCTATTTAATATATCTAAATCTATCTATCTATCTATCTATCTATCTGGCTAATCTATGTATTCAAATCCTGATTGCATCCTACACTCCATTAATATCTATGTATCTATGTATGTGTGTTATCTATCTAATCTATCTATCTATCTATCCATCTATCTATCTAGCTATCTAGCTATCTAGCTATCTGTTTATCGTATCTATCTAATGGAATCTAATCTAATCTAATCTAATCTAATCTATCTATCTATGTATCTATCTATCTAATCTATCTATCTATCTATCTATGTATCTATCTAATTATCCAATCTATCTATCAATCTATGTATCTATCCATCTATCCATCTATCTATCTAATCTATCTATCTATCTATCCATCTATCTATCTAGCTATCTAGCTATCTAGCTATCTGTTTATCGTATCTATCTAATGGAATCTAATCTAATCTAATCTAATCTAATCTATCTATCTATGTATCTATCTATCTAATCTATCTATCTATCTATCTATGTATCTATCTAATTATCCAATCTATCTATCAATCTATCTATCTATCTATCTATTCTATCTATCTATCTATCTATCTATCTATCTATCTAATCTATCTATCTATCTATCTATCTATCTATCTATCTATCTATCTATCTATCTATCTATCTATCTATCTATCTATCTATCTATCTATCTATCTATCTATCTATCTATCTAATCTATCTAATCTATCTAATCTATCTAATCTATCTAATCTATCTAATCTATCTAATCTATCTAGTCTATCTAATCTATCTAATCTACCTAATCTAGCTAATAGGTCTAATCTATATATCTATCTATCCATCTATCCATCTATCTATCTAATCTATCTATGTATCTATCTACCTATCTACCTATCTATCTATCTATCTATCTATCCAATCTACCAATCTATCCATCTATCTATCTATGTATCTATCCATCTTTTGCTGTTTCTATCTGTCTTTGTCTATTTTTGTCTATTTCTATCTCTCTATCTGCCCGCCTGTCTATTTTGAGGTAAGTGCTTATATGAGCACATGCATTTGTCCTCCCCATTCGCGGGGGGGAGCAGGGAAGACGGCCATTTTATGTGTGTATTTTTGAATTCATTGGGGACGTTTTGGGCATCGTCCACATGGGTTCACGTCCACCAACAATTTCTGAGGGTGCTCCTGCTTCCCATTGAACATCGTAGATGGCGATTTTGAAAGCTGTCCCTTTATATAGTGCAATGTTCGAGTGAGACGTGTACCGGCCCCATGTCAAGTAAGGGCGTGCGGCATCCTCCAAGTTTGCAACCAATTGCATGTGCCATGATCACACGCCCTGCCGCGTTAGGGCGAGTAGGGCACGCTCCTTTGGCAATGAACCAACCATTTATAGCGTGTGTTTTCCTGAGCACAAGGAGCACCTAGAATCCATGGGAAGGAGAGCTTCAGTTGCTACCAGGTGAGGTGACTTGCTCACTTGCTCATCTTAGTGTTCATCAACATTGATTGGCACACATGGTCACAGATCCAAGAATTTTCCTCGGGAGTACCAAGATAATCCAAAACACCAAATGATCAGGCTCTATCTGGAAATAGGCTAGACATTTGGGTGATTCCCAGGGCGTAATCGCAGGAAACCCCTTGCATCGGAGCATGTGATGACTTCTGTCGTTTCTTTTTGCATGAGTGCTTCCGTCGCATAGCGCCCTTTCGTCAGCGACCCTGAGGGCTCAGCTTCTGAAGATTGGCGAAGCGGCCGGTTACCCGCCCCACAGCTGGATCTACACGGCTGACAACCGCGCGTCAGCAAGCGACGATGTTCTCGCGGCCCCACTCGAGGACCTGACTCCCAGTTGCCCAGTGGCGCCCTTTTGCCTTGTTTGATGTGGGGGTCCTATTGCGATCAACAGAGGGGTGTGTTTTTTTTTAAGCACTGGCCAAGTAAGGACTTCCCTTGCGGTGTTCTCACCTGCTGTTCGCCACGGGCGTAGCAGTGGACAGCAAGCCCAGCATCTTGCTGCAAAGTGAAGTTTGTTAGTTGGCTAATGAAACATACATGCCCCGCTCAATTACCCAGCAGGATGCATGACATATTTATATGCCTGGCGTTGCTCCCTTGAATCATCGGGTTTGTTGTTTGTTTTTTGCCCTTGGCGCATGTCAAAAGCCTAGCCTCCAATCTCCAGGCCTGGCAAGTCTTGGGCCCGACATGAGGCACTACTCCCTGAGCAATCACATTGAGATGATTCTGGATTCCTCCCGCGTGGACGCGTTTGCCAAAGCGATCGCAGCCGTGGCGCAGGGCCAGCGGGTTCTTGATGTGGGCGCGGGTGCCTTCTGCCTACTCGGCCGCATCGCCTTGAAATCAGGAGCCGTTTTCGTGCGCTGCTTGGAGTGCAACCCGGCGGCAGCAGCGCACGCGGTGGACGTGTTTCAAATGGAGTTGGCTGATCTTGCGCTGCCGCCCTTGCGATATCTCCGCCTGACACCCGCGGCCTTGCACCCAGATCAGATGCAGCTGATCCGATCGAATAAGCCTCGAAGCTGGCATGTTCACATCGAGGACGCGGAATCACGATGCGTAGCTGAGGCAGGGGTGCTGCAAGCGGAAGTGGGAGAAGCAGAGTGCACTCTGCTTTTGTGGCCGGACTCGGGGGAGTTTCCGGCAACCCTGGAAGTGAAGACGGGCAGCAGTGACTCAGATGACTACGACATAATAGTGCATGAGTTGCTGGGTCACATCTGCAGTTCAGAGGGCGTGGTCCCTGTAATGCGGGGCCTTCTGTCGCGGCTTCCGAGTTGCAAAGCCGTGCCAGAAGCAGCCGGGACCTTTTTCGCACCCGCAGGGGTCCAGATGAATCGCACGGAATCCGCGCTTTTCAGACTGTTCAATGGTCAGGAGTGCTTCGAGGCCTGCGCTGTTTCAGGGAACCGCTGAACCTGGATTTGGTTTTGAAGGGGAGCTGCGCCATTCCTGGGGGGGGGTTCATGGGGTTGGGGGGGGGGAGGAGCCCAAACTTAGTTCAGCCCTCAACTCCTCATTTAGGGCATACTTGGGCTCCTTCCCCTCGCCTCCCCAAAGAGGGTTGGCTTTTATTAACACCAAAAGTAGGGCTTATTTGGGCTCCCTCCGAAGCTTGGACGAAACTTGGCAAGCCCTCAGGCACCAGGAAAGTACAACGCGCTCAAGTTCAAAGCTGAGTGGCTACTGGCGGACCCCGCGATCTTCGAGTGGTTCGAGTTTCACCCCTCACAGCTGGCCACGCTGGGATCGCAGCAGCGTCTGGTGAAGTTTCACATCCGACGTGCAGGCAGGTTCGATGGACTTCACTTCCACTTGGTGGTGCGTCTTGACGCGTCCACAGCCTTGGATGTGCTGAGTACACGCACGACTTGGTGCACCACCTATGTGCGCTTGCTCCAGGAACCCTTGTGGCTGCAAGAGGGGGACATTCTCACCTGCCAGTGCCGTGTGGTCCCAGACGACCTGGCCAAATATTCGGTGCAAGTCCTGGGGCCAGACCATGCCATCCTTGCCGAGTTTCATTGGGAAGGCTGCTCCTAGAGTGGAAAGGGCCAGGCACCACCCAAACTTCCTGATGGTCACTGCTACCTGATGCTCGACCCGGAGAAGCACAAGCTGTTCACCTGTGTTGTGACCTGGCCCGTTCTCGGCCGAAATGCTCGCGCTGCGAGCAGGTGGCGGCAGAGGCTGCTGGGTAGCCTCAGCAACTGCGTGACTGGCAACAAGAGACTCAGAGCCGATGGCTTCCACCAGCACAGGGCTGATCTCAGAAACTGGCGCCTTTCGACTGGGCCACAAGAGGTGGAGTCATCAACTTTGGCTTATGGGGACAGCTGCTCGTGAACGAGGCAGCTTCTTCCTGGCGTCGTTTCGGCCACCCGCCGAAAGCCTTGGAAACAACCCAACAGCCACCGAGCAGGAAAGCATTGGGCATGGAAGCGCCGGCGAATCCGATTCAAGCCGTAAAGTTGGCGCGACAGCTGATAGGCTGATAGGTAGCTGGCGTGAATCTCTGGTATGAACCCTGGTGAAAAGTATGGTTGGGAGTGTGCGCCCAAACTCAGAACAGTTACCAGTCTTGTGCGCCCTTGACCACGTACCCCCAGAAGCCCGACGAAACTTCTCAGCGGCATGGCGCAGGCATCCTTCTTTATTGACGGCAAGAGCTTGTGCATCGGTGCGGGGCGCTGAGCTGTGAATGTTGGAGGGAGGCACGCCCAAGACCAAAGCCATTGTTCAAGGCATAAGAAAAGCACGGTTTCGACACGGGCCGATGTGTGTGTGTGTGTGTGTGTGTGTGTGTGTGTGTGTGTGTGTATGTGTGTGTGTGTGTGTGTGTGTGTGTGTGTGTGTGTGTGTGTGTGTGTGTGTGTGTGTGTGTGTGTGTGTGTGTGTGTGTGTGTGTGTGTGTGTGTGTGTGTGTCTGTGTGTGTCTGTGTGTGTCTGTGTGTGTCTGTGTGTGTCTGTGTGTGTCTGTGTGTGTGTGTCTGTGTGTGTCTGTGTGTGTCTGTGTGTGTCTGTGTGTGTCTGTGTGTGTCTGTGTGTGTCTGTGTGTGTCTGTGTGTGTCTGTGTGTGTCTGTGTGTGTCTGTGTGTGTCTGTGTGTGTCTGTGTGTGTCTGTGTGTGTCTGTGTGTGTCTGTGTGTGTGTGTCTGTGTGTGTCTGTGTGTGTCTGTGTGTGTCTGTGTGTGTCTGTGTGTGTCTGTGTGTGTCTGTGTGTGTCTGTGTGTGTCTGTGTGTGTCTGTGTGTGTCTGTGTGTGTCTGTGTGTGTCTGTGTGTGTCTGTGTGTGTCTGTGTGTGTCTGTGTGTGTCTGTGTGTGTCTGTGTGTGTCTGTGTGTGTCTGTGTGTGTCTGTGTGTGTCTGTGTGTGTCTGTGTGTGTCTGTGTGTGTCTGTGTGTGTCTGTGTGTGTCTGTGTGTGTCTGTGTGTGTCTGTGTGTGTCTGTGTGTGTCTGTGTGTGTCTGTGTGTGTCTGTGTGTCTGTGTGTCTGTGTGTCTGTGTGTCTGTGTGTGTCTGTGTGTGTCTGTGTGTCTCTGTGTGTCTGTGTGTGTCTGTGTGTGTCTGTGTGTGTCTGTGTGTGTCTGTGTGTGTCTGTGTGTGTCTGTGTGTGTGTCTGTGTGTGTCTGTGTGTCTCTGTGTGTCTCTGTGTGTCTCTGTGTGTCTCTGTGTGTCTCTGTGTGTCTCTGTGTGTCTCTGTGTGTCTCTGTGTGTCTGTGTGTGTCTGTGTGTGTCTGTGTGTGTCTGTGTGTGTCTGTGTGTGTCTGTGTGTGTCTGTGTGTGTCTGTGTGTGTCTGTGTGTGTCTGTGTGTGTCTCTGTGTGTCTCTGTGTGTCTCTGTGTGTCTCTGTGTGTCTCTGTGTGTCTCTGTGTGTCTCTGTGTGTCTCTGTGTGTCTCTGTGTGTGTCTGTGTGTGTCTCTGTGTGTGTCTGTGTGTGTCTGTGTGTGTCTGTGTGTGTCTGTGTGTGTCTGTGTGTCTCTGTGTGTGTCTCTGTGTGTGTCTGTGTGTGTCTGTGTGTGTCTGTGTGTGTCTGCGTGTGTCTGTGTGTGTCTGTGTGTGTCTGTGTGTGTCTGTGTGTGTCTGTGTGTCTGTGTGTCTGTGTGTCTGTCTGTCTGTCTGTCTGTCTGTCTGTCTGTCTGTCTGTCTGTGTGTCTGTGTGTCTGTGTGTCTGTGTGTCTGTGTGTCTGTCTGTCTGTCTGTCTGTCTGTCTGTCTGTCTGTCTGTCTGTCTGTCTGTCTGTCTGTCTGTCTGTCTGTCTGTCTGTCTGTGTGTGTCCCGCGTGTTTTTTGCCGTAGGACCCATCTATCTTCTGGTCGGACGCCTTGGTTCGTTGGAGCAGTCATTTGCACAGAACTGGGACCCAACAGGCCAACAAGTTCACCAAACCCTCCTTAGCCTTCGACTTGGACCCACAAATTGCCAAAAAGCCAACCAGAAGGTCCGTGTCAAGCACTTGGCCACCAGGAAAGGCCCGGCTGGAGTCTTGCACATGGCTCTTGGTCCCAGGTTGCAACCTGCCTGTCAAATCGCCGCCTTTGGCCATGGCAACGATTGATTTCCCCCTTGGATCTAGATCGCGGAAGGGAATCTGTGGTCTGTTTTTGATCCACCACCTTCACGTTCAACTGGTTTTTGCTCATGAAGCAGGTTTGCTGTGCGAGCTTGCCGCTTTTTTCCGAAACTCAAGAAGCCGTATCGAGCAACTCCATGCAGATTGTTTCAGGACGCATTCTGTCCTCACTTTTTGGCAATATTCCAAGATAAGCTGCCCCTTTAATTTCTAGGGAGGGGCACGGGAACGTGATGGCAGAAGATGCAAATGTCATGCCAATGCCTGCTACTACTACATGCAGACTTTGAATTGGGGCGGCACTTAGAGAACCGAGGGCTTCTCAGATCGTTGCGTGGGCTGCATCTTCCAACCAAGACCCGGGCGCAAATCTTGGTGGCTCCCAGCCATCCCCTCAGCGTTTTAGCTGTTTGGTATTTAGTGGGGCTCTCCATTTAGCCCACTAAAAGTTGTTCACTTTGAGCAGGGGATTTGAGGAAGAAATGAGGTCCAAGATGTCAGCAGCATGCTCCGCTCCCTGGGCATTCGGATCAACGAGAAGCAAATGCTGCAGCTGTCCCAGAAGGCGTGGGGAGGGCATCGCGAGCATCGGTGCTCGCGCGATTTTTTGCCAAAGCGTTGCGCTGCCTTGGCATTTCAGTGTATCTTTTTTCTAGTAGTAATTTGGTTATTTCGCATCATTATTTGCATTATTGTCCTTATTATTATCAACATTGTTATTTGTGTTTTATAATTATTGTTTTATTGTTATTATTTTTGTTGTTGTTATTGTGTAAATTGACCACGTGTCGCCAGCGATTGTGTTGCTGGACAACGACAGGGTACCATTTGACTCTTGGGTTAACGGATCATGCCAGCTTTTCGTTCGTTTCCCTCGCCAGACTCGAATAGAGAATAGGTGTCAGTATATCAAATGCAGGCGCGGGTTTTCAGCAGAAGCCTAAGCAAGTTCTAGACCAATTCTAAACAGTGCCGGGAGGGCACGAAACAGTACCAAGTAATACTAAACAACTTCTACATCAATACTTAGCAATAACTCGCTGAACAAACATTCTGACAATTGGTTTAATGTTTGCGCGTCTTGCTTCAATTGCTTTGTGTCAGGGACCCAGCTTCAGTGTGCAGCGCATTCTTCACGCTGCATGTCCACAGATAAAATGAGCATCCGTATGTGCAATATTTGTAGATGACATATGCTGCATAGGACCAACCTGGATTGGTCAAACATCAAGTTGTGCCGGATGGCATTGATGTCCCTTGCTGTAGTGGTGTCCCACTACGGATGGCTGAGTAAGCTTGCGGCTCCCCACACTTTGAACACCCAACGCGGGGGTGTTTGCTTACGGCCAGGTGAAGCACTTTGCAGCCGGGGGTGAGGACGGGAGCGCGGGGAAGGGTTGCGGCTCTGCGGCGGAAGATTCGCCAAGTCGGCAGTGCCCTTCAGTTGCCTGTAGACTGCTTACACAAAGATGTCATACAGAAAGAGAGAGAGAGAGAGAGAGAGAGGGAGAGCAAGCCCGGCAGAAAAGCGGAATGAGGGTGTCCGGCTGATTCCGTTGATTCCACACCAACGGACTTTGGTTGGAAGGTGGGTGTCCGGCTGATACCTGTGATTCCACACCAACGGACTTTGGTTGGAAGGTGGGTGTCCGGCTGATACATGTGATTCCACACCAACGGACTTTGGTTGGGAGGTGGGTGTCCGGCCGATACATGTGATTCCACACCAACGGACTTTGGTTGGAAGGTGGGTGTCCGGCTGATACATGTGATTCCACACCAACGGACTTTGGTTGGAAGGTGGGTGTCCGGCTGATACATGTGATTCCACACCAACGGACTTTGGTTGGAAGGTGGGTGTCCGGCTGACACATGTGATTCCACACCAACGGACTTTGGTTGGAAGGTGGGTGTCCGGCTGACACATGTGATTCCATACCATGTTTTGCTTGCATGATCAGAGCCGCCGTGCATAGCAACACAATGCGCGGTTGAATGCTCATGGCACGTGCCAGAGGTCTCCTAGGATTCAGCTTCGGGGTGTGACTCCCATCAAATGGATTTGGCTGAGCTGGGAATCTTGGGATTTTGCGATGCACACTTGAGCACCCTGTTTGTTTAGGGGAACCACATGGGGACTACGTACCATGGAGGGAATGGAGCCATGCATTCGGCAATTTCCCTCAAGCAGCTTTTAAGCTTCTGGAATTCGCTTCAGCCTTGTGGCCTGATGGCTTTCCCAAATTAATTCGACATCAACCCCTTCCAACCTCTGGAAGCACTGATGGCCACATGGCACAGGAGATATCAGCACTCAACGGCCGGGTCACCATAAACCGTCAACGCCCGTATCTCCCTTGAAGTCAAACATATATAAACATGCAACCCCAAAAAAGCAGTTTCCACAAGGAGTCCCTCCAAAAACGACGAGCTTTCAGGTTTCCATGTCAACGGGCAAGAGGGCCATGTTGGG